ATTCAGATTCCTACGGAAAATTCACAGAGCTTTCCAAGGCGAATTTGGGAACACTCATATTATACAAGAAAAGACACGTCAGCTAGAAGTGGGCCCACATATTTCAAAGTTCCCTACTGCCGAATAAAATTCCTAGCATGCTTGCTAACGCTCGCGTAATTCCTACATAAATATATTTTTGAAGGAAAAAAAAGGATAATTCCAAAAATTTCGAGAAAGCGAAAATGCTTGGAAGTGGGAGGGCTTCAACAGCCGTTGATTCCATGCACCATATGCTCGTCAACAAGAAGGTGCCCAAAAACCCATTAGAGGTAAAAAAAAATAGTAGATCCCACGGCTTCGGGAGTTTGTTCAAGCACGGAAGTTGGTATGTCACAAGACTACGACAACAAACTTTTTTTTGCGGAAAATGGTGATCAAGAAAACAAGTTATTGAAATCCTATCCCTTAAGCAGCATTGACCGCAGGGGGGAGGTCAATGACAAGTTACGCGCCGGACTCGGGTCGAAGTTTCGGTGAGGGGTGGCGGATGAAGGCGATCGACGTCGGGGGAGTGTGTCGATGTGGCATACTGCGTAGCCACACGGGCCCTGCAGGGCCCGTCCCAGACATTCAGCCAAAAGCCTAAAACTTAGGGCTTACAGGCCCCGTTCGTTTCAGCCTGGATGCTGAAAAACGAGGGTCTGCACGCCCTACCCCGTTTCAGCCTATTTCTGAGTCTTTTCAGACCCAGAGTTTTCAACCTGAAACGGAGGGCCATTTTCAGGCCCTCATTGTTTCGACCTGCCCCTAAGACTCAGGCACGTAAACAGGGATACGGAACAGGCCAGAAATAGTCCGTTCCTCACGAGTTGAGCAGGAGCTGCAGCTGCAGCCCCTGCCTCCCTTCAGCGGGCTCAGGAGGCACACCCGTAGTACATAGGAAGTTCCCATGCACTTCACGGGTAGGTAGTTCAGTAGGCACGAGGTAGTCTTCAGGGATCGGCCGCAGCACTCAGGAGGAGCGCTGCAGTAGTCTTCAGCGCTAGGCAGTAGTGGTAGCGCTAGCTGTAGTCTTCGGCGTTGGGCGCCATAACTGTAGCTGTAGTCTTCAGCGCTGGGCGCTGGTAGGTAGTAGATCGTAGAGTGGGAGAGAGACTGGCGGAGGCCAGTGTTACTTACCTGTGGCGCCATCGCTCCAGCTCTATCTTCGTGGTACCTGCATCAAGGGGCCAACTTCACAGGTTAGTACTGGACACAGAGAGAGAGAGAGTTCTTCTTCTTCCTCTTCTAAGTCCACCTTCTCTTCTCACCCTCTCGCCACCTGACTTCTCAGACTACGACAGAGAGAGACAGAGTTGTGACTTGAGACTTGACGRCATTGRATCCAGACTGGACATTTGGGATTCAGACATTCCGACGAGGGACTATTTGGGCTTGTGCCGAAGACTTGGTGTTGACGACATTCCCATCTTCCCCCTCCTCTTCGTCTATCCTTTTCCTCTCTGTCTGTGTATGGTATGGGTTGGCGTTGTCTTCCTCTGTGAAGCGCTAGACCCATTCACACCTTGTAACGATGATGATGATGTATGTTCAGGGCTGCATTACAACATTGATTGTCCGGATCACTGGTATCTAAGTCTTCTGCTGTGTTATCTTGAACTTTGTATTGAAAGGTCTGTTCTTGTTCTGGTCTGCACGTTACAGTATGCAACAGTTTGGTATCGGAGCGGACCTCTTATTCAGAGGACCCGCTCAATCAAGTAGCCAGCTTGCGATCTATTGATCACTCATTAGTAACGCAAGTAGGACTTAGTTAAATCTCTGGAAAAAAAATTCTCGCAACAACTATCTGAAATTTCTTATATTCGCATTTTCGTTCTATCTGAAAATTTCTGATATTAGTAGTTCGTTTTTACGTGACAAATACCTGAAAATTTCTGATAAATCGCATTTCGTTTTGTCTGAAAATTCCCGATAGTAGCAATTCGTTTCTCTGATATTTCGCATACATAGCTGAAATTTGTGAAGTTAGTATCTTCGTTCTCTAGGCATATGGGGATAACGATAGAAGTGGTCATATTCTCGGAAACTGAAATTATTCTTTTCTGAAAATCGCATTTCCATTCTATCTCGCAAATTTTTTTTTGAAAACCGAATCTTGCGAAGCCTACCAATATTGCGTTAGGCATATTCGGACGTTGCTATATTCTTTGAAACGGGATTTCGTTTTTTTCTGAAAATCGCATCTTTACTCCATTTCGCGAAATTTCTTTTTCAAGATCGCAGTTTGAAAAAACCGAAACTTTGCGGAACCTAGCCTAGATCTCGTTCATAATACTCTTCTGACATATCCTACTCATCATAGATCGACAGATATATATATATAAAAAAAAAAAAGGAAGTAGTCCTCTTTTATTTTTATTTTCTTATTTTATCTGTTGATTAGGGCCGGAGGAAAGTCTTGTTGGGTTGGTTACCTACCTGCATTTTCCCTCCCACCCACCCCTTGCATGCATCCCGTTTCGGTACAGTGCCACGTCCACGTTACAGTGCCAGATCAGCAGTGCCACGTCATCAGTGCCATGTCATCAGTGCCACGTCATAGTGCCAAGTCACAGTGTCACGTCAGCAGTGCCACATCAAAGTGCCAGATCAGCAGTGCCACGTCAGCAGTGCCAGGTCACATTGCCATGTTAGACATAGTGCCACGCCAGCAGTGCCACGTCGGACACAGTGCCACGTCAGCAGTGACGTTCGACACAGTGCCACGTCAGCAGTGCCACGTCATCAGTACCACGTTAGACACAGTGCCACGTCAGCAGTGCCACGTCAGCAACATGACGGGCCTGCCAGGCCAACTGGCCAATGAGACCATTGCCGCCTACAAGCAGCGTTGCCTGGCTCAGATATAGGCTGAAGAACAACGCCTGCTGGCAGTCGAGGTTGCCGGCGTACAGGCTGAAGAGGCAGCAACAGCAGAGAAGCTGCGGCTAAAGGCCGATGCAGACGCAGATTCCCAGGCTCGCTCAAGGAAGCCCAGGATCTGCTACAGCGGCATGAAGCCACAAGCATCGACAGACTCAAGTTCTGGCATTTTGAACCGAACGACGACGAGGCAACACCGGAAGAGCAGCATAAGGAGTTCCTCTCCAAACTCGTGACACGGTTGATGTATGTTTGCAACTACCAACGATCATAGTTGGAGAGACAGTACCAGGACCTGACGCAACAGCATCAGGAGTTGGCGACGCTCCGCCGCACAGTGCAGAGCCACGAGGATGCAACTCGGGCACTCAATGCCCGATTGCTGGACCTGGAACAGGCTGTACCAGGACCAACTGCTGGGGCTTCCAGCAGTGCACCCTCTAGCTGCCAACTGGAGGAACGCGTTGACCACATCCTGGCAATGCTCGGCGACATTAACACCTTCGCTGCGCCGTCCACCATCAGCACTCAGTTGGATACCTTGAAGACCGAGGTCCAACAGCTGCAGTCGACGAACGCAGATGGCAATCAGAAGATGCCAACTTTCCAACTGGAAAAGTTCGACGACTACACGCAGCAGGACCCGACCCTCTGGTGGGAGGCATTCACGATGCAACTCAGGATTCTGCCTGTCGCTAAGCACAAGTACATCGGTGCCCTATTCCTGAACTCAAAGGGCGGATGCTAGACCTGGTTGACCCACCTGGCAACCTCCCATGGCGTCGACGTACCGGACCTCAAGGACAAGATCACATGGGAAGAACTGACACGGCTGTGGAAGAAGCGGTTCATCGTCGACGACGCGCCGGCCCTCGCCATCAACCGTTTGTTCACCATGTCATAGGGCAACACTGCAACATGGGATTGGCTCACAGAGTGGCAGAAGATTGCGGCAGTGCCCAATCAGGACCTTCCTTTCACTCATCTCAGGCGTGAGTTCTAAAACAGGTCCTGTGTTGCATTGAGCCAGACTCTTGGTGATCGCGAGCTGTACGCCACCTTCGTCGAGATTATCGATAAGGCGCGAGAGATCATCAAGACCAACAGGTCAGCTGCACACGAGAAATCAACATCATGGCAGCCGACCTATGTGGAGAAGGTACGAACTGGTCCGCGACAGCAGCACTTCGCTGCAGTCCAGCAGGACAGTGGGGATAACCCAGCAGCCAATCCAGCATCAAGTGACGGAGATCAGGTGGTTGTTGTCCAGCCGCGAAGCACCAACAAGTCCCGCAACAATGGGAAAGAGAAATCCGCATCGCAGGCCGGAAATGGACAGCCAGGACAGTTTCCATGGGTCAAGTTTGGCTTGACCGAGGCGGAGTACAAAGTCCGCGGCCGCT